AGCAGGAAGAATTAATGCTTGCCTACCGCTGTGTTATGGACTATGGCAATGTAAGAAGTATTACATCAGTTCAAACAGAGATAAATTAGAATATTTTCTTATTTACCTTAAAGTTTGGGAAGAAGTAAAATGCAGAGAGGTATCTTAGCACACTTAATGTAAGAATTATTAGATGCAGACAGCATGTCTCACCTTGGATACAGTATCACCATAAAACTAGCCAGAGAAAAATATGCAACTCTATATGCATGACACAGATTAGCATTTTCTACAAATCTATAATTACTATCAGAGAAGAATTTTTCTACATTACTGTATTTTAAAAAATAGATTAAAAAGTACTTGCTATGTAAATTATTCTCTTTATTACACTGAACCTAGAGATCCCAACTTAGACTGGCCCCATTATGGAAATTTTATTACCAAAAGGTGACATGAGAGATTTATTATAGGAGAAAAAAAAGTATTTTCTGTACTTCATATAAGCAGAAAAGGGGACAAATAGGAAAAACAGGCATAGACTGACTCACAGATTGAAATCACAATTCAAAAACTGTTTAGCATCACTCCTATGATTAAATTTGTTCATGGTATCAAAAGAAATATCCTGATTCCCAGTCAAGTCTTTTCCAAAGGATCCTTCTTTTCTTACTGTCCAATATGATGGATGCATTATGCACTTTTTTCCCCTCAAGATTTTATTTCTAGTATCTTTACAGTTTAATGCTGCTTTCAGTCATTTATTTATGCCCCATGGTCCCAAATGACTGCCTGCTATTTGTCCTAGCATCCAAAAGCAACAATAAAAATTAAGCACGTATAAAAAGTCCTAAAGCGTCACTTAAGCAAAACTATTTTTCAAAACATTTTTTTTAATATATAAGAAAAGAAAGCATAAAACTTACTTTGGTATTGATGGTAAAGCTCTTTCACCTTCTGTGTAAACAAGAAGAAAACAGGATTAAAATTTTACTCCAAGTTTCCAAATAATCTCTCTCAATGTGCAATATATACATGATGAATTCAAAAGACTGTTCTATAGGTATATTAGTGTATCAAGATAACTTCTAATCAGTGATATAGACTTTCTGGCAAACTCTTATCTGAGAGAGCAGTGCATGCAGAATATAAAAGTTCTTTTTGATTCTTAACAAATGACTCCAATAAATCACCTGCAGAAGGTATGACAGTATCTCATCTCTCTAGTAAGAAATGCTTTTATCTCCGAGATGTGCTAAGTGCTAACAGATAAATAAAACAACTGAAGCCAACTTGGACTTCCAAGTAAGACAACATAAATAAATCACTAAAGCACCTCAGTTATCATATTGATTTAACATTTTTTGGAGAGTATACAATAGTACTGCTTAGTAGCCAAAGATGAAGTTAGTTTTCTGTAAACTATTTTCAAACACTTGCTAGTTTTTCTTTGATAATGCTACTGTGTACAAAAAATTGGATGTACGTAATGAAGCTTTTTTTTCTATATTGGATTTGATGAGGCTCTTGATATGTGGGGAAGGATGATGGGGAAGTTACTAATCCTTTAGCAGAACATCAGAGATTTACAGAAGATCAAAGTAAGAAGGGAAGAAAAAAAAGTAGGCAATTAAAATGGATGTAACTCTCTAAATCAATGTAGTGCTGCTAAAGTGACCTGAGAGAAAATGAGCCACACTTCTAGAACATGGTGATACATACTGATCACAAAAAAATCATGTAAATTCTAGTTTTTTCTTATCCTATGTTAAAATTTCTGACGTTTCCAGACATTATAGAAGTAAAATATAGCCTCAGCTTTGTGTATTATGGGACTGAGTAGAGAAATGTCCGATACCCAGAAGCCACGCTCAGCATGGCAAACTCAGTATTCTGTTACAATGATTTTGGTGTCTAAAGGCAGAACAACATAGTTTAGCTCACCAACCTAGGTCTGTTTTCATCTGTCTGAAGGGGGATGTTGAAAAGGAAGATGCATGAAAGAAGAGAAACAAGAAGCTGTGATTTGGAAGATGACCTAGAGATGCTCAGCAAAGTGACCAGAGCAAGCACCTGAAACTGGAGGGTGGAGGAAGTACAAGATTATACAAGAAACATGAGGTGGGAGATAAAGGTACTATGAAATGTTAGGGTAAATTATACCTTTTGGGGAAGGAAACAAATGGCAAAGGTCCTTAGAGGCAATGTGGAGTGACAATTATGAGATCAAAGGCATGTAGGTGACAGCCTGGCAATAAAAGACTGGGGGTAGGTACCCAAAAAAGAGAGACTGTAATGGGCACTAGAGGATTCACACTGGGTAAGACTGGACAAAAGACATTAAGCTTGGAGAAAAAGGCAGAAGAGTCCTGCCCACTATTGTGCCAGCCTCCCTACAGTTGTAAAGAACACCCAAAAGAACCTTAAATTTCACCTGATATCTACCATCAGCTGTCAGTCATTATTTGTGAAAGCATCCTGTGCTCGTTTACATCAAGTTATGGTGCTACTGCTAGTTATTCCAACACTGCTCCTCCATTTGGCAATGGATTTAACTGTTTAGATGTTGCTGATGAATCATACCTCACTGCTGAAACATACTTGCAGTCTGTTGTTTTTAAAGGTTTAGAAAGTGATACAAACATACAAACCTCTGTGTTTATATAACTTTATTAATTTGCACAGTTAACTTCATAATTCCATATTTTTAAATCAAGATAATGGATGCACAACTAATAAGCAGCTATTTTCCTTGCTCTTCAATAAATAGCTCCATCATATATTAAGAGCATACCATTCAAGCTGTATCCTAAAGATGGAATTTTAGTTTCCTCTAGGGTTTTTTTTTCGTGTGGAGCACATCAGTATCATATTTGGGGACTTCAGAAACATCAGTGAATGATTCTGTTATACTTGCAGGGCCACAGTGTTTCATATGTTCAAAGTACTGAGCTCAGCTGCAGATCAGATTGTTTCTCTCTCCTGTAAATGTGGACCCCCCACCTCTTAAGAAAGTGAGAAATACCACACATGGCAACTGCAGGTGCAGGCTGAAGTCAATTACTACCTAATCAAAAAGGATCTAAGAGAGATACAGATAGAATTCAACTTTCCAGTGCAATATTAAATTTCCTTCATCATGAGATTTCCATTCTGTCAGTCCCTAGTCACTTAACTGAACAGCTTCCTACCAGTGTGAAACATAATCATCATAAAACATCTCTTTCACAACAAAATCCTGATTCTATCTTAAGAGGAGACCAATTCTACACATTTTGTGAGATAAGGAGAATGTGAATAGAGATGGAATTACATAGTTAATTCAGGAGTAGCAGCAGGATATAGTTCACGAGTTAAGTGTGACAAAGGTGTAAGGAATTGAAGATGGCTGGAAAATCATAGAATGGTTTGGGTTGGAAGGGACCTTAAAGCTCATCCAGCTTTTCTGGGCAACCTGTTCCTGTTCCCCCCTGAAGGGGACCTACAAGAAAGCTGGGAAAGGACTTTTCATAAGGGCAGTTAGTGACAGAACAAGGGGAAATGGCTTTAAGCTGAAAGAGGGCAGGTTTAGAATAGATATTAGGAAGTTGTTCTTCACTGTGAGGGTGGTCAGACACTGGAACAGGTCGCCCAGAGAAGCTGTGGGTGTCCCCTCCCTGGAAGTGTTGAAGGTCAGGCTGGATGAGGCTTTGAGCAACCTGGTCTAGTGGAAGATGTCCCTGCTGACGGTAGGGGGGTTGGAACTAGATGATCTTTAAGGTCCCTTCCAATCCAAACCATTCTATGATTAAAAAAAAAGAAAAAAATGCAACGCAAAATAAAAACCTATTATTAAGTAGTAATTAGGGATGTATTTCTCCCCTTTCAGTTGAGAAAAGTCAAGAAAAATCTATTTGCATAGAACTGCTGTTGAAATGGCAAATAGAAGCTGATCTTCTAGACGCCTACGTGCTCTCTGGGTACAAACTGCTCACTTCACGCAGTGTTTCCTAAGTTCGTGTTCAGCTGTTTGCAGCTCATATCCCAAACGAATCACAAAATGTCCATTAGTACCCTTGTAGGTTTGAAGTCAAAATTCATTACTAACAGGATCCCAGTAAAAGCATATGTTGTTTTTCACAGGAAACCCACAACATTTCGCCCAATACTGTATTCAGTTAAAAAAAATAGATGTGCATGACTGTATTGGGGTGTTGGCAGTGGGGGCTGCAGGGACCCTCTGTGAGGAGAGGCCGGGGCTGCCCCATGCCGGACACAGCCGGTCCCAGCCGGCTCCACCGGCCCCAAGGCAGGACACAGCTGAGCCCCTCAGCCAAGCTGGGGGCACCGGCCGGGGGGGAAACAGGTTTCCGAAAGGGCCAAAGGCGGCAGAGGCAGAGGAGGAGGAAGCCAAGGAGGGAGCAGCAGCAGAGGGAGACC